TTATTTGAAATAATAATAATTTTTAAAAAAAAGGCAAATTCCTTTTTACACCTTTTTCCTTCGCCTTTCTGCTTGGTCCTTGACAATCTGGCTCAGATGACTTGTTTTCCTCATGTGCCATATCTGCTTTAGTTATTAGTCTGAATCCAGTAGGAAAAGATCGAATTAAATCTAATTAGATCCCGCCTACATGACCGTATACATGTACGTCAGGTCTGCCAAAAGCCCAACTCTCCGTGAGGCCTGTATGAGGACAGCAGGTTCTGTTTTAGTCATTTGGACTAGCTACAAATACTCCCGTGTTTTTGTTCCAACTTATAAATTAGAAATGATTGTTCTGCAACGTATGATCTAAAGCACTACTGACAAATGGAGCACAGTTGGAGACTTTCAGGCTCAAATATAAAATATATTTTATTAAACCTAAAAGCACTTATCCATACACGCTTAGAGACATACAGCGCACCTGGTTAAACAAACATAAATTCAGATTCTTTTAATAAGTTGCCTCAAATCCCATGCTGACATTGTGATGCTTCATTTCAAAGTATAAGCATTTAAGATGGCTAAAAACCAACATTACGCTGAAGACACACACAAACACACAAGACTGGTTTAATATCCAGCAGTATTTAGCTTTTATGATGTTGACTATAATTAAAGCTGGATAATACTCTTCACAATTTGGGTTAGTTTAAGCAAGACATCCTTTACTTTGTTAAATTTCGCAATTTAAAGAAATAAACACACCAAGAATTGGTGTTAACTTTGGGAGCAGTGTTTGTCTGTATGAGCTCCAGGAGGAGCATTAGAGACTCAGGATGAACATATGGTCCGCTGCTTCTTCTCTGTTTTCCATCTTTCTCCTCGCAGGTTTCTACAAAACAGACCAGCTGTATCATTCCCATCATCTCCTCCTCCTCCTCCTCCTCCTCCTCCACCTCCTCCTGACTCCATGGTGAAAGATTCTCATCCCTCAGGCAGATCTTGTACGATAACACGCTTCAATTTCAAGCTTTAACCTGTAGAGCTGGTGTCCTCTTTTACCCCAGCCAACTTTTTCTTCCTTGTTTGGACCAGTGAACTCTTCGGCTCTGCATCGCTACTTGTCTTCATTTGCGTTATCGCTGACCATCCCCATTTTCTGCCTTCTGTCCAGCTTCATCCATCTCTTTATCTTCCACTCTTTCATTCTTTGTCATTCCTCCCTCTTCTCCCAATAACATTCAACCTTCAGAGCTCCCACACCGTGCATTTGTCACTGACATTTTGGAGATGCTGAGTTGCCATGGTTGATTAAAACCCTCTGTGACTAGTGATCCATATTGCTAGCAGCATTTTACTTCAATACTTATATCTGAGGTTGTTCTTCCTTCATATAAAGACCTGGGTGGAGCAGTGACTCCCCTTAGGTGACTAAACTGTGGTATACATGTTTCTTCAACATTGCTGATTTCCTGTGATGTAAAATTCATTAAAAGTCGTATAAGCAGCTGATATAAAATATAAGTTTCTTGTGCACTTTCTAGGAAAATGAACACGATAGTGTAAATTAACTTTTGTTTAAAAACAATCGTAAGGTCTATTCTAACCAGGCTACTCCTGTGTGCAGAAATGAAATCGATAGCATTTAATTTGTCCCTGAATTTAGAAAAGGAAATTGTTCATGATATCAAAACAATTTTATATGAAGAAGGTATTTAGTTCTACAGTCTCAAGCAAATCAATATTCAATCAGTGCTGATAAGCTACAAGAGGCTTCATTTCATGTTTGATAGAGGGGCCAGGGTCTATTTCATGGCACAAGTCATTATAATGAGCTTCCATTATAGCACACATTTATGCATGCATATTTAAGGGTTTCAGTGCATAGTTACTTGCTTCTTCTCTGTCTTTTATAGGTAATGCTGACATTGACCTTTCAGTTCATGCAAGTCTGTGGAACCCACGTGATGTTAAGGTCACTGGACTTATAGGGAGCTATAGGGAATAATGAGTGAACAAGAAAAAACAAACCAACACAGGCCATTTTCTCTATCAGAGCAGTCGAGAGCGGTTATCAGTGTAGGAGAGATCTCAAGCCCCCCCTCATAACCATCAATCTGTCTGAATGACTCTGTCTCTGACGCATCTCCACCGCTGATGTTGCTCGTCTATTTCCACCACACGTTTGATCTCCCTCTGGGCCACATCAACACGTCCCTCACTGGCTTTCTCCCTCTGCAATTCCTTTGTTTACAAGCACCCCCACCGTTTTCTTTACCATTCTGCTATTCCTTCTCTCCATTCTTCCATCGCTCTCTCTATCTGCCCTTGCCACTAATTCATGTGCATTTCTCCCCATCTCCCCCCGCCCTCCTGTCCCTTGATGAGACTGTTCAATGACTAAGTGAGCCCTGCAGTGATGGATAGCCAAATGGGAACGGAAGGAGCATTAAAACCATAACTCACGCAGACATAATGTTCTAAGGATTTCAGTGAGATCCACTCGAGATGGTCCTGTATGTGTTTGTGTCAGAGTGCGATTATCTGTTTTCACTACACACGGCCTTCGATCTGAATAAAGTGTTTGAATGGGCATGGAAAAACCTGATATGTGCTTTGATTAAACACGTTAGATGTTGTAGTTCAGTATCTTATTCAGAAATCACATTAAGAGGAGCATCAGATTTTAGCAAAAGCCACGTCTCATCGAGGCAGGAATTCACCAGCCTCTGCATGTGCCATTACATAAATGATAAAGTGTGATATATAGTTTTTTCACCTATCTGTCTCACAGGCTAGAGGGCCGGCTAGAGGTGAGCCACTAGTCGCCACAACTTACCTTACCCAATCAATAATGCTCTGCTTTACAGGCGTATTTGGATCTAAAAAATACAAATTTGAATACACCAACTTGTTGATATTGCAGCTCATCAACTTGCTGGGAACAAAAAAAAAAAACTAGACATGGTAATAGATAATTAGCTTAACAGTAGCTGTGTCCCAAAATTCAGGGGTTTGAAGACTGCTTGGAGCACGTCTAGGCTTTTAGACGGCTCCTTCAAATGTGTTCTTTCATTCCTCAGCAACTACGGATCCAATGGGTCGATCGTTCTTGGGTTCTCCTGTCATAGGATTCAATGAGCACCTCACATGTCAAAGAGGCCAATAATACAATGGTAAGAGTGGGACAAGCTGGTGATGCAAATAGGAAATCCACAGTGGACCAACTCTGAGGACACACCTTCGTAATATGAGTAGCCTCTGAAATGGGACACAGCTGCTGCAACAGTGATGGTAACTCCTGCAAGTATTGGTGACAATTTTTCATAGAAGACAGCTTTGTATGTGATATGTATAGAAATTTAAAATAATATAAATAATGCTTTTTAAAATTGCTCACACAGTTTGCAAGAAAAGACCAAAACTGATATCCATTTCTGTGGATAACTCCTCCTTGCAATTTGAGGAGAGGGCAGTATATTGAACAACATACACATAGAGGCAAACGTTAATTGCACACACAGCCGTACACAAACAACTCTATTAGTGAGGCTATGTCCTGTGAAAGGCAACAAACTAATGAGCTCCAATCAGTGACCATGTTACCGCTTTCAGAACCAGACGCTATGGGCCTGTGCTTTGTACACATATACACACACACACACACACACACACACACACACACACACACACACACACACACACACACACACAGACACACACCTATGAACAAATACAAAGGATACCCCCTGGAGTGAAAAAGTGGAAAACTGCACCCAGGTGCTGGTGTCAGGAAAAGGAAATTGTCATACTGAGTGTTTGAGGGGTCTAAGGTCATGTTGCACGTGTTCCATGTGAAACCTAATGTAGGTACAACAAAGCTATATGCAGCTTCTCTCCTAAGCACAGAAAGAAAAACACACACACACACACACACACACACACACACACACACACACACACACACACACACACACACACACACAGCGACAGCCCTATCATTTTGCAGTGGTAGTAAGTGAGTAGTGACTCATGTATGGCTGTTTCTTTACTGACTCTTACATCCTGATGCTGCCACTATCTCAAAATAATTCCCTTTCAATAATCCTCAACTGGCAGATTGAAGCATGCATAGCTGTAGGTTCACATTTTTCATTAGCTTGGAGTATAAAAACGACTATTGGTACAAGTGCAGACTTCCTGATACTCAACACACAACAGAGGCCATGTGAAAACAGCTGGGGAAAAAGCAGCTGCTTCCAATATGTGTTTCAACCATAAAATACTTATGTAAAATTACATTGCAAAACAAGAGAGGTGCCTCCTAATCATGCACACACAGCCATTCTCTCTCACCCTCTGCAGTTTGAAATCACATGTGAAGCAGATTACAGGCCTTTATGGTTGTGGAGCCACTGAAAACCCTTTTTTCAAATTTTACCGAAGGGTGGAAAGAGAATGGAAACAGACATGTTAGAGGAGCAAAGGTGACGTGAGCTGTGATTGCATGAAGCAGATGATTTTCCCAGTTTCCC